AGCATATTTATATTTCATGCATGAAATGAAAAAAAAAAACAATAAGAATTTAATTTAAAAAATAATAAAAATGTTTTTATTTATTTATTTTTTATATATGTATACTTAGATATAATGCAGCATTTACTTTTGGACCATGATCAGTCAAGTTTTAATTTTGGCACTTCGCATTGAAACTTTCAGGGACCTCTGGTATATTGTATGAGCTTTTATTGCATGAGCAATTTTATGCATGAGTTTTGGGTAACACTTTACTTGAAGCCTTCATGTATAATGCATTATAAAAGTATTCATAATGTACATTGTAATGCATCTTTTCTTAAATAATTGTAACCAAAGTCAAAATGCATTATAATATTTGGAGATCAGCTGTTTGTCATGTGTTTTAATGCATTGCACTTTCTAGTTGTAACAGTATTGATAAGTATTATAACTCCAGAGTTTTTTGTGAGATCACACAATGCATTATAAACTGAATTAATTAATGCATTGAAATACATTTGTAATGCATTATATATAAAGGCTGTAAGTGTTACTCTTACTAACTTGGCTCTAACTAACAATAACTGCATTGATATCAATTATGCATCAGGTTTCACGTGTGCTTCAGTCTGTTCTTCTAATGCACAGGATCGCTGCTTATGTAGAGCGTTTCAAATGAGGTTTTATTGGAGTTAAGGTGCTGGTTATGTAGCCGATAGACTGCTCAAAGAGCTGTAAGAGCGTCTCGCAGTCACCTCACCTGCTTAATTTGATTGCTCAGGTAAGATGAGATGCTGTAATATCCACCTTCACAGAGACTCCATTAACCAGAAGCATTTAGCGTGAGCTTTTGACCGGAATAATTAATGTAACACAATTATCGAGCTCTCGCGCCTGATCAGATTTGCTCCCTGCTGGTTAATAAAGTCGTTTCTCAGCAGCAGCAGCAGCAGTGTTCAGATTGAGTTTTGCATGTTTGCTTTGGCATTTAGTCATGATGTGCTCTTTTGTTCGGCTGGCGTTCGCTTCCTGCGAGGGACGTGTGATTTGTGTGTCTTTTGTCTTGTGAATGTTTCAGATGAGTCAGTTGAATAAGACCGAATAATGTCAGACGACAGTCAGAGAAATCACTCATCATCAACATCACAGATCATTAGTGCTCTATTCACACCGTCAAACAGGTAGAAACAACAAGACATCTGATTTGAGTTGTTCAGCTGCCCATTCAACAAGTTTATAATCGTTTTCAGTCATTTTATTTTAATGCTTTCAATCACAGTTTAATTTTAGTCAGTTGGAGCAATGGATTTTTTTGGATTGTTTAAGATGTTGTTTAAGGCAAGACACTACAGGCAAAACCAGTGTCAATTTTGACTTCCATAACATGTCTTCTTAGTAGACAGAAAACATCCATAATACACATTTAAGTGTTTATTTTATTGCACTTTATCTCTTTGCATCTGTTGATTTCAATTGCAATACATATTTTAAAGGCTGTTTTCTCAAAAAGAGCTTTTTCTCCACTTCAACAGCACTTACATACATCAAAACTTAACTGTAGGTTTTTACTGAGGGTTTGTTCATATAATTCACCTGATTTTATTGCTAATTATAATCATTTTATTTTAATACTTTCAATTTCAGTTTAATTGTAGTCCATTGCATGAATATTTTGGTTTTAGTTTTCATTTCATGGATGCATTTCTATTGCATTTTACATTTTAGCTTAGGTTTTATTTTGTAATTATACTCAACAATGTTTTGGTCAACCTTCATCTGAGTGCTTAAGATCTAAAGAAGGTATTGCATGACACGATGCACAATTTAAGTGCAACCATCAAAATGTTATTGTCTTTTGCAAATAAACAACAGTTTTAAACAAGATACATTGCTTCCATGTTAATTTGCTATCTGAGACGTCACACAAACACAGGTCAGGTTACTTTATTTTTGTATTTATTTTTGTTTAATTTAATTTAAGTTGTTTTGTTTTTCATTAAGTGTGAACTTTAAAAAAAAAAAAAAAAAATTCAGTTATTTAATTTTTTCAAAATTTTGAAACATCACTGTTTCCACAAAAATATTAGGCAGCAAAAATGTTTTCAACATTTGATAACAAGAACCGTCACTAATAATTTTAGCACTAATAATAATAATGGAACACCAAATCAGCATATTAGAATGATTTCTGAAGGATCACGTGGCATTGAAGATGTTGTTTGGAAATTTGCTGAAATAAGTTAGTTTATTTTATTTCAGGTAACAAATTTGTTTCATTTTTAGCTAACTATTTAAACAAAGCATTTCAGTAAACTTGTTATAGAAAACATTTGTCTTAATGTACTTTGGTCAAATTGGGAAAATATGATGATATCTATTTGTAATTTCTAACCATTTAAAACTATTTCAAACCATATAATTTTCACCTATAGTGTCTTGCTTTAATGTAACAAAGCAATGTTGCAACTTTGGTGTAAACGGCAATTCATAATGGATAATCAATAGTAACAAGGTCGCGGCAGTTGAGACTCGCGTGAGACAAGCTCATGGAGAAATCGAAACAAATGAACTCAACTGCACACAGAAGAAACATACTACGGTAAAAAAAAAAATGTAGTTTTTATATTTATTACATAAAGCCTAGCCTAATTAATTAACATGACACGACTAAGAGAGTGCAGTTTTCCCCGAAAATCAGTACGATTGTAAATTCGACATTGATTTTAAACAAGACTTCAAACGAGTAGTTAATATTAAGTGACTTAGGGCATATATTTTAGTA